AAGTAACTTAATGAATTTCATAATATTAATATTGATTTATTGTAGTGGTTCTCAATACATACAAGTCATGTGTTATTTAAATTACAACTTAAGTTGCTTTGAACTTTTATTTTTGGCATTTGTTTTTTATGTCCTGCATGGCTGAGAACCTATAAATATTTAGAAATTGAATATCTGGGAAGTATAATAACTTAAACTTATAGGTCAGAGCCAGAGTTTTCTAGAAAAATAATCAGATTTTATTTTTGTGGCTTTAAAGGCTCTATGTTGAAGATGATAAGAAATAAAAGCATACTTTATTTTTGTTTTACTGTCAGGTGCAGTAGCTCGGCTCCCATGCAGAGCTGTCAGCTACCACTAATGCTCAGCCGCTCCTGTCCGTTTCAAACTCTTCTTATTAAAAGTAAGAGTTAGAGAGCTAAATGTAATTGAAATATTGGCTACCTCCCACAGAAAAAGGAGCTAATTCTATGAAAGCAATATAGCAGTTCTGCTAGTTTTGATTTCCAAGGCATAAGGTGGCAGTTTATCATCAATCAGCCAAAGTAATGAAATAATGAACTGCGGACTGATTTTTATTGTTAATGTGTTTCTTCCGATTGAGCAGTGAAAGTAAATAAAACGTGTTTCATGTCTTTTGCTTTAAGTATTTACATACTGGAGGGTTTTTTGTTAGTACTGCAGAGCCACAGCTAACAGCTAGCTCCTCACTTCACTGGCTCTAACTGAGCCTGTGCCATCCAGCGCAGCTGTTGCTCAACGGGTCGGTGCCGCTCCCCGGGAGCCGTTCAGAGGACGGCAGGAGGCGCTAGCGGAAATTTTTACAAAAGGGGGGCGCTGGGATTCCTTTGGGGGGCATTTGCTCCAAGGTAAACTTCACACATTAAATGCACAACAATACCAGTTTAGACTTTGAGCTACTTGCTAAAAATTGTATTGTGTAACATTAAAACGACAGTTGCAACTGTATCGATGGCAGCTCTTCTTCTTCTTCTCTTCAGTGTTTGTAGCTTCTTGGCGCAGCTCCGTTCTCCTAGCTTCACCACTTCAGTTCAGCTTTACACCGGCTGATGACGTTGCTGTGATTCACTTGTCAGGTCACGTATCTGGTTTTCAAATATTTTATTGTCTATTGAGGATTTTTATACATATGTTTTGGCAGTGGTGTGAACATGTCAAAGCAACAACTTATATTGAAAAGTATTTTAATGTTCGTCTGGATGCTGCAGACGAACATTAAAA